AGAATGAAACTCCATTTGAAAAAAAAAAGAGAGTCACCAGAGATGCTTCGTTGAACGAAATCTCAGAGGCTCTGGCAACCTCGATGTGTTGTTCTGGTGGAGGCTAGATGCTGTTTTCAATCATTGCTATGCCCATAATCCTCAAACTTAGCAGGTGTTAAACTTGGCGGGACATGCCGAGCTTGTTAACAATACAACCCGAACCCCATTCTGATTCAGCACCTGCTGGGGTGGAAGTCGAGAATCTCTCTTTTAACAATAGGACCAGGTGATCCCAGAAACAGGTAAGTTTACTTACCCTAAAGAGACCCAGTAGTAGGTAATTTTTATCCTCACTGAAACGTAGGAAGGTGGAGTGATTAACATCCCCTTGTACAAACAAGGAACCAAGCTGAGGCCAGTGACCAGCCCAAGGTCACAGCCAGTATGGAGCAGAGCTGAGATTAACCTGGGCCTGGTGCTCCAACACCTGTCTTTTAAACTGGTATGTCTTGTATGGGTACAAATCTGGGGCGTAGCAAAAGCCCAGGAGCAGATTGCTGTACCCTGGGAGTCAGGGACTGACCTCTGTTGCAATGTTTCCACTTGCAAGGTGGCTTGAGATCATAAGGAATTGCTAAAGTCGTGGTAAAGGGAACAGCAAGGGACAAGGATGGGTGAGTAGGACATCTTGGCCTTGGGGCCCTGAGAGGCAATGCCAGGCCCACATCTACCAGTTATGTGACCCTGGTCCAATCGTCTAACATCTCTGAGCCTCACATTTTTCATCTGTGAAGCAGCTATTGAGATACTCACACTGCTGTATTGTGAGATGAGAGGGGTGTCGAGGGGAATGCCTGGCGCTGTCTCTATGAGAATAGCAGCCCTTGGCTTGGAAGCAAGGGCTGCCTTGGGCCCAGGTTGATGCGGAGCAGGTGTGATCTTGAAGAGTCACTCAGTTGACCAAGCTACATCAGTGCAGAACAGACATTAGACACTGGACGCCCAACTGCCCACCTCGAAGCCTGTTGAAAGAATGGGATGGAATTATGCATGACATTGTCTGATGAAGCTGAAAAGTAGCCCATTGCTGGACCTCGTCAGTTTCATTTTAATTCCAGGTTACTAAGAAAACTTCTCTTCCCTTCATGAATCTTTCTAAAGCCTAATGTGGAGGTTAGGTGTGGTGACCTCATCGGGATCTGCAGTCCTCCTCCTCCAGGAAGGCTTCCCGGATGCCCCAGGCTGGATTTGAGGTCCCACCACTATGCTTTCAATGCACTCAGGATTGGCCTCCACACTTTTCATTTTCCGAAATTGTTTATTTTCTCCTCCATCTACTCTCCCCCTGCCATCTCTACCCCTGTGAGTCCCTGCATAGCAATGCCTGTGTGAAATTCATCTCTGTCTGCCCAGACTAGGGGACCGGCCAATGCTGATGAGTTGAATATGTGGATTTCACCTCACTAGGAGCCTACTTTGTTTACTTTCTAGATAAACGTCCTCCAAAGAGTGGATGGTTAATTTTATGTGTCAACTTGAGTTGACCCCAGGGTACCCAATGAGCGTCCAGATCAAATGTTCTTTCTGGGTGTATCTGTGAGGGTGTTTCCAGATGAGATTCACATTTGAGTCTGAGGACTCAGTAGATCACCTTCCCCAGTATGGGTGGCATCCTCCAATCCGTTAAAGACCTGGATAGAGCAAAAGGTGGAAGGAGCAATTTACCCCTTTTCCCCTGGGACCTCTCACCTCACCTTCTCCTGCCCACCGACTGAGTTGATTTATATCAACTCCCCTGGTTCTCAGACCTTTGGACTTGGACTCAATTACACCGCTGACTTTCCTGGGTCCCCAGCTTGCAGGAAGCAGATCTTGGGACTTCTCAGCCTTCACAATCATGTGAGCCAATTCATCATAATAAATCATACATATACACATATATATGTATCTCCTTCTGGTTCTGTTTCTCTGGAGAACTCTAACACATCGCCTCTTCTCCTTTTCAGAGGAAGTGTTTAAGTGAAAAGATAGAACTTTGGGTTCTTCCTCCTACTTTTCTGCAATATTTGGATGTGGACAAAGACCATTTTGGGGTCTCCTTCCACCCAAACCCAAGAATACACTTCCCTCACACTTCCCATAAGAATCCCCCTGTAGCTGTCCCATCCTCTTGGGACTCTGATAGCTAACTCTGCCAGGGTTTGTGATCAGAGAGATGGTTATTCCTACAGAGAGTTCATTTACATTCATACCCAGTAGAGTGGCTAAAATTTAAAAAGACAGTGCCAAGTGATGCCAAGAATGTGGGGAAATAGGAATCCTTAAGTGTGGCTGCTGGGAATGTGAAACAGCGCAGCTACTTTGGAAAATAGTTTGGCGGTTCCTCAAAATGTGGAATATAGGGTTGCCATACGACCCAGTCCCCTCCTAGCTATGTATCCAAGAAGATCTATGTCCATACAAAAACTGTCACATGAATATTCATAGCAGCAACATTTTTAATAGCCAAGGAGCAGAACCAACCCCAGAATAAATCACCTGAAGAATGAGTGAGTGAAATGTGCTCTGTTCCTACAATGGAACATTTAGCCACAAAAAGGAATGAAATCCTAATGCGTGCTGCAACCTGGGCGAGCCTTGAAAACATTATGCTGAGTAAAAGAAGCCAGTCACGAAAGATCACGTTTTCTAGTTCCACTTCTATGAAATGTCCAGAATAGATAAACCTACAGGAACAGAAAGTAGATCTGTGGTTGCCTAAGGGTAGGGGCTTTGGGGGAAATGGGGAGTAACTGCTAACAAGCATGGGGTTTCTTTTTAGGGGTGATGAAAATGTTCTACAATTGATCGTGGAGCTGGCTACGTAACACTGAAAGTACTAAAAACCACTAATGTGTACGCTTAAGTGGGTAAGTGGTATGATCTGTGGATCAGCCCTCAATAAAGCTGTTTGAGAATATATTTGCAATCACAAGACGTCTTTCAAGTCTTAGTGACGTGGTTTAACTCACTGGCTGGCAGGTGGCAGAGTAGAGTTGCTTACCAGGTGGGACATTTCCAGAGTGAGGTTCCATGAGCCCCTGGTTCCTCCCGTTGCTGGGAGGGAGCATTCAGAGACCCCACCACCCGACTCCCGCTGAAACCACCAACAGAGATGACGAAGCACAGAAACGAAAATGATCACTCCCGCCCTTGTTCCTCACAATCGCTCTTGACACTTTTATTGTTAATTCTCTTCACATGGCAGACACAGAGCTGTCGTCTTGAAGACCAACACTGACCAAGATATGCCGCTTTTACAAAATCATCCCCGCTTCTCGTTACTGGAACAGTTTTCCTGACCGTCTGGGAGTGTTGAAGGGTGACCAGCACATTTGCACATGCAAACAAGGAGTGACCCCGAGGCCTCAACCAAATTTCCCAGAGTTCACCGTGGGCTGCAGGTGACTTCCCAGGTTTTGGGTTTGTGAGCTTTCCTCGCTGCTGCAAGGGGAGGCCCTCAAGAACCGAGAGGCCGGGGTATGGTTCACGAGTGTTAACATTTACGGGACAGAAGCGCATCCTCAAGATAAGGAACAGCCTCAGCACGTCATGCTCAGGAGGGTTAACTGTAGGAGCGGGTGAAAGGGTTCCAGTTTATGAAAATTTAAAGCAAACAATGGTTTTTAGCTGGGTGGGAAACAGGAAAACTGCGACGTCGGCCAATGACCAGCATTTTTCTGCCCATGTAAGGGTCGCATGAGACCCTTCTCCTAGACCCTTTGCAGACCCCATACTGCAGCTGATTGACTGACTCATTAAATAACACAAGTTATAAAACTTTAAAAATGGGGCATTTACAGTCAGGGACATAAATACGTGCTTTTAAAAGTGTCTACACACATATTTACAGAGTTGCAAGATCAACCATAGTAGCCCTGAAAAAAAAAATTCCCTTTATTGTGTGACAGATCGTGCTCATCAGAGCTCCTTCCTCTCGCTCTGGGTTTGATAGCTCACTACTGAAATCGGAGCTGAGAAAACAGCACCCAAGTGGCTCAGACATCCTCGTCTGGGGTCTGCCCCAAAGGCACAAAACCCAAGAACCTCACTGAACTGGGTCCAAACGCCAAGCTCAGTTCACCCGTTTCTCCGAGACATGGACTGTGTTCCAGAGAGCAGGAGTCAGCCCTGTCCACCCCTGGCAGGATGGCCTCCAAAATCTCTTCTTCTTCCCCCTGTGCTTTTAAATCTTTCCTTTTTTTTTCCATTTCCCAATTTGTTTGTTTCCTATTGCAGCTAATTTGAGAAGCTCAGACACTAAAGGTGTTCATGGTCCCACCAAGTATGGCAATGAAGGGCACAGGAGATCCCTCCCTTCCACACACCGGCCCCATTCCCGGCCCTTCCCAAGGGAGGAAATAGATCTGTAAGTGAGGACAAAGTCTTTCTCCCAGGTGCACCTGATTTGAGGTTCTCTGCAAAGGACTCAAGAGCAATGGACTGATGAGAATTTCAAGTCTGGAAATGACTCAAGAGCCAGAAACGCAGACACCTTAGGCAAGGAAGGGGGGTTTCCATGTGCTGGGGCCAAGGGGAGTCTTCAGGCTTGGCTCCAACGTGTCAATATGCTATGGATTCCCAGAGATGCTGTGGGAGAGGGAAGGTGGGGAGACGGGGTGGTACTGAAGGGTAACTTGGCCTCCTCCTGAAGGCCTTCCTAAAGCTGACCCCTGGGTCAGACCAAAGTCCCCATGAGGGCAAAAGCCAACTCAGGAAGTGAAAAGCAGGGTCAAGGAGCTCTTGAAAAATTGCATAGTAGGAGAGGCCCCACCCCAACAGGAAGACTGAGCTCCCAAGAGCTGCATCCAGGCATCATGCTGAAGGACCGCCTGGAGTCGGCCGCCTTCCTGCCGCCCTGGGGTTTGGGACCCTTGTTTGAAGAGCACTCGCACGCCCGCACGAGAACACATGCACGCACACATGCACGCACACAGGCACGCACACAGGCGCGCGCACACACATGCACACACACAGGCACGCGCACGCGCACACATGCACACATGCACTCCCTTTCTCACGCGGGCTCACACAACTGGGATAGGTCGGTACTCCCTGCAGGGCAGTCTGCCAGTCCCTTTGGCTTCACTGATTCCAGGTCACTTCAGGTGCTGAGGAGAAAAAGGAAATGAACAAAATGATGGTGAGCACATATTCAGTACCGATCGCAGGTGGTCCATGTGTTATCCCACTTAATTTTGTAATTAAACTGTGCACGGAAACATCTAGCTGAAAAGCACAGCTTGATGAATGTTCACAGTGAATACACCTGCAAAGCTGGCAGCCAGATGAAAAACCAGAACGTGACAGTCACCTATCAACCCCAAACCCATGACCCCTTTAAGGATACATGAACCCTCCTGCCCTCCAGAAGAACCACTGGGCTCACCTCTAACACGGTAGACTGATTTCATCCATTTTTTAAGTTAAACAAATAGGATCAATCAGTACATTTCCTCCTGTGTCTGGCTTTTTCCACTCAGTGTGAGAGCCATCCATTCTGCACGTGTGGTTGATGCTTGCAACCTTGTTGCTGTGTAGTGTGTTACTATAGAAATACCACACATCTAGGCTGGATATGGTGGCTCATGCCTGTAATCCAAGCACTTTGGGAGACCAAGGTGGGCGGGTCACCTGAGGTCAGGAGTTCAAGACCAGCCTGGCCAACATGGTGAAACCCCATCTCTACTAAAAGTACAAAAATTAGCTGGGTATCATGGCATAGGCCTGTAATCCCAGCTACTTGGGAGGCTGAGCCAGGAGAATCACTTGAATCGGGAGGTGGAGGTTGCAGTGAGCTGAGATCCCACCATTGCACTCCAGCCTAGGCAATTAAGAATGAAACACCATCTCAAAGAAAAAAAAAAATGCACCACATCTATCCAGCTATTCCTCTGCTGATCCACAACTGGGAACTTCCAGTTTGGTGCCATATGAGTCACGCTGCTAGAACATTCTTATATGTGTCTAGGAGACACATGTGGTGCACATATCTATGCATTGCTGCTGAGCGGAAGTGCTGGGTTGTAGGATGCGCACAGATGATGTATCAGCATTCTCATGGGTGTTTTCTGGTGCACGTGGGTGCGTATCTGCTGAGTGTGAGTGTGTCCCCTGCAGTGGGACTGCTGGGTCCTGAGGTACCTACATGTTCAGCATCAGTCACCACTGCCAGTTTTTCAAAGTGATTGTACTCTCCCTTAATTTCCTTTGGATGTTCACAACCCTCAAGGCAGGCAACACGGATCCCCATTTTATAGGAAAGAAATGGGAGACTCAGAGAAGAGAAATAACTTTTACAAATGTGCTGATGATGAGACTCGAACCCAGCAGAGGTGAGACTCGAACCCAGGCTAGGCTCACCCCAGCACCTGTCTGCTCTTCCAGTCAGGAGGGGATGGCTGTGCCCTCGTGCTTCCTCCGCAGAAACCACATTCACAGAGCTGAGCACATGAGTGAGTCCTTAATAATGTTCATTGCAGGCAGGGTGCAGTAGCTCACGGTTGTAATCCCAGCGCTTTTCAGAGGCTGAGGTGGGCAGATCACCTGAGGTCGGGAGTTTGAGACCAGCCTGGCCAACATGTTGAAACTCCACCTCTACTAAAAATACAAAAATTAGCCAGGCGTGGTGGTGGGTGCCTGTAATCCCAGCTACTCAGGAGGCTGACACAGGAGAATCTCTTGAAGCCAGGAGGCGGAGGTTGGAGTGAGACGAGATCACACCACTGCACTCCAGCCTGGGTGACAGAGTGAGACCCTGTCTCAAAATCAATCAATCAATCAAACAATCATGTTCACTGCATTGGGTTGAATTGAGCTGGGCCAAGTTCAGGACATAATTCTCTTGCCCAATGGACCTGGTCACCATTACGATTACTAAAAATAACTATGGCCATTATTATTACTACTGCTAATAATGTAATATTTCTATCATGATAATACCAGTTATTTATGGAAGGCTTACTGCATGCCAGGCACTCTGCTAAGGGCTTTTCATTCACTAACCTATTAAATCCTCTCAATCAGCCCATGAGGGAGGTATTATCATTATTAACCCATTTCACAGATGCGTGAATTCAAACACAGAGGAGTGAAGTAGCCACCGAAGGTATAGCTCCAGAAACTGTGCACTTAACCACTACCCTATGTTAATTTCAATTCCCTGAAATGTCTCGATGGGGCTGGAAAGGGCTGCTTGCGGGGGAGTGGGATGTCTTCAAGAGAGGCAGTGTCCCTTCCCAGAGGATGCCTGCTTATGCAGCAGACCAGCCTGTCTGCCTGTGCCCATGAGCCACAGCGTGTGGAGGAAAAGGAAGCAGAAACAGGGCCAGCTATGGAGCGGCTGCGTTCCCTTGGCCTGGCGTGGCCAGCAAGTGTGTTTCCCCTGGGTCACGTGGGATCCATAAAAGGAGCCATCCTGCCAGTCCCCAACCAAGAGGGCAGCCCTCTGGGGAGGCCACAGCAGCCTGGGCTGGGGGCTGGACCTGAGAAGGAGGGAAGCTCTCATACAAGGGAGATGAGCCGGAATAGGGGACCTCTACACACCCCACTCCCAGGACCCCGCGAGGGGGTCCATGTCAGAAAGCCTGCCACAGAGGGCCCTCAGGTCGCTGGTCTTAGCCAAAGGAGCAGCAACAGCTGAGAGAAGGATCACAACTGTGGCCAGACAGGTCAGAGACTGTCCCTTCCCTGGGCTTCCTGCTGAACCCCTGGGGTGGGGTGAAGACAGGATGTGCGAAGGAAGCCTCCCTATGACCTAAGCAATGTGGCACTTTTCTGCACTTAAAAGTGAACAGCAACCTCTGGGCTTTGTCTGAGCCACAGTAAAGGGGATGCCGCAGAGGCTGACAAAAGAGGGGGCCGGCTGGAAACCAGGCTCCTCTGTGTTCATTATCGCTGCATTCAGACCATCCAGGAGATGGGTGATGGAGCCTTGAATCTGACATAGGCAACAGCGGGCAAAGCAGCCGGGGCCATGGGTCCTTCGAGAAGGCCATCCTTTTCTCTGTACAAAACCCACATGCACACACAGTTTTGCATGAAGGAGGCACGGCCCACTTAAAATCCAGCATTGGTCCCAGAAATCAGAAGACCAGAGTACTGATGCCAGCTCTGCCACGTGCCCCTCTGCATCAGTTTCCTTCCCTGTAAAATGAGGGCTTTGACCTGCACACACCCTCCTGAACTAAAATGCTTTGCTGTGGCATTTTCGTAAGTCTGGAACTGTGTTCAATAGTGCTATGGACTGAACCGTGTACCCCTAAAACCCTTATGCTGAAGACCTAACCCCTCCATGTGATGGTATTTACAGTGGGGCCTTTGAGAGGTGATTAGGTTTAGATGAGATCATAAAGAAAGGCTCACGATGAGATGAGTGGACTTCTAAGAAGAGACCCCAGAAAGCTTGCTCTCCCCCAGGCCCCCACCCTGTGAGGACACAGCAAGAAGGTGGCTGTCTGCAAGCCAGGAAGTGAGCCCTCACCAGAACCTGGCTATGGTGGCTCCCTGTTCTGGTACTTCCAGCCCCAAGAACCATCAGGAAATAAATTTCTGTTCAATATTTAAGCCACATAATCAATGGTATTTTGTGATGGCTGCCTGAGCTAACTAAGGCAAAAGTATAAAGAAGATTCAAAAAAAAAAAAATTCTTTTAAGCTGGGTGCGGTGGCTCACGCCTGTAATCCCAGCACTTTGGGAGGCCGAGGCGGGTGGATCATGAGGTCAAGAGATCGAGACCATGCTGGTCAACATGGTGAAACCCCAGCTCTACCAAAAATACAAAAAATTAGCTGGGCATGGTGGCGAGTGCCTGTAATCCCATCTACTCAAGAGGCTGAGGCAGGAGAATTGCCCAAACCCAGGAGGCGGAGGTTGCGGTGAGCCGCGATCGCGCCATTGCACTCCAGCCTGGGTAACAAGAGTGAAACTCCGTCTCAAAAAAAAAAAAAAAAAAAAAAAATTCTTTTAAAATAATGTAAGTAGCACATGCTTGGTGTAAGTACCAATTTTAAAAATGGAAAGAAAAAGCAACATAGGATTTTATGGAGCAAGTTTTAGTCACTTAGACAGTAAGTAAACTGTGAGTTTGGAACCTTCGTTGTTGGTGAGCAAACAGAGATTGTAAGACGCAGACGCAAATAACATTAGGCCTTTCTTCATTTGATTGCTTAACTTGGGAAACTGTGTGTGGAGGTGGGAAGTTTTTTGTTGTTGTTGTTTTTTAAACAAAGTCTCACTCTGTGGCCAGGCTGGAGTGCAGTGGCGCAATCTCGGCTCACTGCAACCTCTGACTCCCAGGTTCAAGCAATTCTCCTGCCTCAGCCTCCAGAGTGGCTGGGACTACAGGAACCCACCACCATGCCAAACCAGTTTTTCTTGTATTTTTAGTAGAGACGGGGTTTCAGCAGGTTGGCCAGGATGGTCTCGATCTCTTCACCTCGTGATACACCCGCCTCAGCCTCCCAAAGTGCTGGGATTACAAGTGTGAGCCCACCGCGCCCGACCTGTATGTGTTTTTAAAGAAGGAAAAAAAGGCCACCACCTAGGACGGTGCCCAGCCCTGGGGCACAGCCTAAATTCATACAGCTTGGCAAATGCTACATACATTTCATCATCGTCTTTGCCAAGCCTGCAGCGGCCAACAGAAATGTCCCAGTCTGTTTAGGAGGCCAGCCCATCGCACCTGCCTCTCCCTCCGGCTCAGAGAACACCTGCTCTGGGGTGGAAGCAATTCCCAGGTGCCCATCGACACCGAGGGTTCATGCAGCAGCCTTGGCTACCAGGAGGATGCTAGACACAAACGGTTCCCAGAGTCGGAACTGCTCATTCTGGTATGGCCTCCCATTTTCCAGAAGGCCTCAATTTTTCCATCTGTAAAATGGGAGGCTCATCTCCCAGGGCCTCCCAATTCTGTATTATCTTAGAGTCCATCTCCGTGTTGTTCCATGAGGCCCCAGCTCAGGGTCAACTCTCCAGGTTCCCCTGTCAGGGAGCAGCTGGCCTCGGAGAGACAGGTTCAGTTCCAGCGGCAGACAACAGACTCTCTGGGGGAGAGCGGATTTTATTTTCCCTCCCCTCTCCAAACCCCAGAGGAATAAAGCCAAACCGAAAACTCTAACTGCTTAAGAGAGAAGTGAGTGAGATGTTGGGGTGGGAGGGCAGGCAGAAGGAAGAAAGGGTCTTCTCTTGCTGGTATAACACAAAAGACCTCCAAGTTTCAGAATTCAGCCCATTCTTGCCTTGAACTGTACTCTCATTCCAAACAGCCCTAGCTTGTGTTTTAACCCCTCCCTTGTGCTAAGTAGGCATCTCCAAACTAAGTGTGTCCCGGAACCACCCGGCCATCTGTTTATGCAGGTTCCCTGGCCCATGCCATCAATACCCACCCACCAAGACAAGCAGGGCTGTGGGGGTGGTGGCAGGTCCCCTCCCTGCCATTGACCCTGCATTCCACATCTGTCCTGTGCCAAGCACTTCCATGCTGGGTATGTCTCAGGGATGGTGTGACTTCCCACAGAGATGTGAGCTCGGGATTTTATAATGGCGTTTGGCCCTATTTATACTACAGCCCAGTAAATGGGATTTGAAATGTTGTACATTGGAGCTGGACTCTGGGGTCTGTATTTATAACAGCATCCTAGATCTTCAGATGCCTGAGGTCCTCTGGTCACGCTTTGCAATGCTGACCCTGGGGACACAATGAATGTAGTCCTGTGGTGTCACCAACAGGGAGGGTCAAGCCTGCTCGTGGGTCACCAGCAAAACCCAGGTACGCCAAAAATGAAAGACCTGGCTTCCATGTTTTTATCTGACAGAAATCTTAGAGTGATTCCAGGTTTTTACCACCAGAAAACCTAGGAAGAGACTGTTTTGGTCCAAAATAAATCTGAGTTTTATATTTTATGGATTAGGACAGATTATACATCCCTCATCTGAAATGCTTGAGACTCAAAACTTTTTAGATTTTGGATTTTTTTTTTTTTTTTTTTTTGGATTTTGGAATATTTGCATTACATAGGTTCAGCATCCCTAATCCAAAAGTCTGAAATCTGGAATGCTCCAATGAGCATTTCCTTCGAGTGTCGTGTCTGTACTCAAGTTTCAGATTTGGGGACATTTTAAGATTTTGGATTTTTGGATTAGGGTCACTCAACCTGTATTATTTTTACTTTCAAATACAGTGTGAGAATAGGAACGCTGCAATCTGTTCTGGGCTTAGCGCCTCTGAGGCAGTTGAGAACTGAGTATAATGACTATTTTTTTTTTTTTTTTTTTTTTTTTTTTTTGAGACAGAGTCTTGCTCTGTTGCCAGGCGCTAGGCTGGAGTACAGTGGCACAATTTCGGCTCGCTGCAACCTCTGCCTCCTGGGTTCAAGCAATTCTCCTTCCTCGGCCTCCCAAGTAGCTGGGACTACAGGTACGTGCCACCACACCCAGCTAATTTTTGTATTTTTTAGTAGAGAAGGGGTTTCACCATGTTGGCCAGGAATGGTCTCAATCTCCTGACCTCGAGATCCACCCGCCTCGGCCTCCCAAAGTGCTGGGATTACAGGTGTGAGCCACCGCGCCCAAACAAATGACTTTTAATATTATTATTATTCCAATAACGACTTACCCAGTGCTGATTACGTGGCACACCCTGTTCTAGGTGCTTTGTGCGTTTGACACTTGTAATTCTCACAATCACCCCATAAAGTAGGTACTGTTGTGGTGCCCACTGTACAAATGTGGAAACTGAGGCTCAGACAGACTAAGTCACGTGCTTGAAGTTCACAGCCAGGAAGTGGCAGAGCTGGGATGTGAAACAGGCGGTCCAGAGTCTGCCCTCAGCCAAGTGTCCTCCTGGAGGGAGGCCCTGCTCCGTGCCTGGTACACACAAGCAATCATGCCCACCCTTTCTCTCCTTCCCTCTCCACCCAAGACCCAAGCCCACGCCCCCCAGACCCACCCAAACAGTGCCGTAAGCTGCTCTGTCCTGCCTCGTACCTGTCAGGGAGCAGGCAGGGTGTCTACTCTTTGAAGAATGGTCCCTGGAACTGGGCTGCAGCCGGGGCCTTGACCTTCCTACACTGCCTGGTGATGTACGGGGCGGCTGGCGGAGGGCATCGGGACGCCAGGCGGAGGCTGTAGCTGTGCAGGAAGAGGAACAACACACATTGTCACCAGGAGCCCAGCCCGGTGTCCCAGACATTGCTTGAGGGGCTTCCTTAGTGCCGGTCACCACTTCCCGGGCCCGGGCAGGACTGTACTTCCCAGACACTTTGAGGTCAGGTGCCTGACATCAGCTAATGGGACATGAGCTTTAACCACCAATGTGCATTTCTCCATGTTCAATCCACCACACTGTCTCCCCTCGGAGGCGATCGCAGGAGCGTGGTGAGAGCGGTGTCCATTGGCACGGTTCTGAGACACCGTGATGGGCAGCGCCGTCTGGTGACCCCCAGTGGACATGCAGGTGAGCTGGAATGACTCCGGTTGCATCAGAACAACGGCTTTGCCCTTCTCTGATTGCATTCCCCACCTGCCTCCCTATTTTCCCTTCCTGCCAGGCCCCAGCACCCATGAGGCAGAAAGCATCTGGGGAGGTTACTGTTGCCAAAGCAGAAACACACCTGCTGGGTTGTGGGGGATGGAGGCAGGTCTCCTCCCTGCCCTAAGCCTGCACTCCGCATCTATCCTGTGCCAAGCACTTCCAAGCTGGGTATCTCAGAGGGGTGACGTGACTTCCCACAGAGATGTGAACCCAGGATTTTTTTTTTTTTTTGGCATGATTTTGCCCTAGTTGTACTACATAGCCCAGTAAACGGCATTTGAGTTTTTCAGAAGGGCCTTTTAAAATTTATTTAAAAGACAGATAACTCACAACATTATTCCTCTCCTTTCCTCACTCAGCTACCTCGTACTTTTCTTTGATATCCCAGCTGGGATGCTACCTCCTCCAGGAAGCCTTCCTTCTTTAACTCCTGGGTGAGGTGTTCCTCCATCAAGCCCCTGATGTGTGCCCATCCCAGCAAGTTACACTGAATTAAAAGCCCAGAATAAGGTATCTGCTGTTCTCATGAGCTCTGAGATCCAAGGTCAGGGTCTTTGTTCATTGTTGCATCCCCAGCTTGGCACAATAAAAATAAACATCCAGCAGGACGCAGTGGCTCCCCAGCACTCTGGGAAGCTGAGGCGGGTGGATCACATAAGGTCAGGAGTTCAAGATCAGCCTGGTTAACATGGTGAAACCCCATCTCTACTAAAAATACAAAAAATTAGCCGGGTGTGGTGGTGGGCTCCCGTAATCCCAGTTACTCGGGAGGCTGAGGCAGGAGAACTGCTTGAACCCAGGAGGGAGAGGCTGCAGTGAGCTGAGATTGTTCCATTGTACTCCATGCTGGGTGACAGAGCAAGACTCCATCTCAAATAAATAAACAAATAAACATCCACTGAGAAAGGGTGATACACACAGGCTTACTATGTGTCCAGAACTATGCCAGGCATTTTACATACACATTCTAACTCTTCACACAGCCTATCCAGGTGGATACTGTTATTATCCCTAATTTTCAGATGAGGAAACCGAGGCACAGAGAGCCTGTCACCTGTCTGCCTCTCTAGATGGAAAAATGGAAAGTGAGGTGGGGGGAGGGCCTCCGGACAAGGCGGCCCAGGTCAGGGACAGGCTCCGCGACAAAGATTTCACCAGCCCCAAATGCTGACAGTGCCAAACCTGACAAGGGAACTCAACCAATATTAAAATAAGCAAATGCATCAACAGACAAACAAATGCAGAAGGTGCCCAAGAGAAGCCTTAGACAACACGAAGATCTGCTGTTGTCACAGGGAGCCTCCCCGAGGGCCCGGCTCTCCGTCAAGGTCAGGGCCGCCTGTTTGATTCCTCCCCCGCACTGTGCAGCCAGGGCCTACGGTCAGCTCGGTCGACTCGCCCGTGCAAGAGTTAAGGAGGAAACAGAGGGCCCACGCTTCATGCAAGCTGTGCTCCAGCTGGGCCACCAAGGCCCAGGAGGGAGCCTCCGGGGGGCTGTCTCTGCAGCTAGTGGCCAACTCCATGCTAGCTGGCTGGTGTCCCAGGAGACCCAACCTGGGAGGCGACAGGCAGCTGGGAGGCTGCTGGAGACATGAACTCCCGTGTCCTGCTGGGGAATAAGAAACAGAGCTGGCAAAGAGCAGGTGCCTTCCCCAAGACATCACCCTCCCTAGGAAACGTCTACAGAGGTAAAGCAAGACCAGCAGAAGCTTTGGAGACAGACAAGCCCTGCATCATCAGTATTCAGCTTCTCCCTCTCTGCTGTTAAATATCCAAAAGCCAGATCAATCGCACAAAAATCACACCACGACCTCCCGGCCCTCTCCAGCGAGCCTGCCTGCCTCTGCTGGCTTTGGCATCTGTTCCGCCTGGGCTCCTGTGGATGCAGCAACCACAGCGTCGCCACCAGGGGGCGCGCGTCCTCCCCGGCTCAGGGCGTCCACCTGGATGGAGCCAGGAGGTCTGGGGCAAAACCCCCGAAGGCAGAAGCCCCCTCTGCCACCTTTCATCCACTGCCCGGCCTAACGGAGGACCACGGCAGCCGACATTAACATGCCCCCCATGACTCCCACGGACTTTCTCAGCTTTCTCTCTGAACCCTCCCAGCAGCCCAGGAGGGAGAGGCGGAACAAATGCTTTTTTACCCCTTTCACGGATGAGAAAACTGAGGCTCAGAAGGACATGGAGACTTTCCTAAGGGAGCAGAGGCCAGGCCTTTCAGCTCCTTGGGCCACAATTTTGAAGAAGCACCAGGTGACCACTTGGGTGTTTCCTGATAGTTGCTTACTCCTTCACCGCCAGAAGAGGATGGCTTTGAGGGCAGGGACTGTCTCGCTCACAGCAGAATCCCGTGTCCCCAGGAACAGGATCTGGCACAGGAAATGTTGGGTGGGTGGGTGGGTGGGTGGAAGCAGCCAGGAGATGTTCTGGTTTGCAGGTGGAGAAAACATGGTCACAGGACCACACCCCCCACCCCAGGCCACATCCCCACCCAGAGACAGCAGAACCCAGAGTCTCAGGGACAAGGACAGCTCGTGCACTCCCAGCACTGCCTCCAGTCACAAGGAGATGCCACATCGGCCAGCGGGGGTGAGCACAGGATGCTCCCTGTGGGTCATGGTGATGGCACGGTCGGCAGCTGTGCAAGTAAGTGTTAACAAGCCAGTGCCTCACTTATCCAGAGGCCCCTTCACCTTCACAATCCAGAGAACAGCCTAACACATTGTGGAAAGTCTGAGTCATCCACAACCAGTGCCCATTTATCTTTAAAACCTTTTTTTTTTTTCTTTTGAGATGGAGCCTCACTCTGTCGCTTAGGCTGGAGGGCAGTGGCACAATCTCAGCTCACTGCAATCTCCACCTCCCAGGTTCAAGCGATTCTCCTGCCGCAGCCTCCTGAGTAGCTGGGACTATAGGCGCCCGCCACCACACTCGGCTAATTTTTATTATTTTTAGTAGAGACGGGGTTTCACCATGTTGGCCAGGCTGGCCTCGAACTCCTGACCTCAGGTGATCCACCCATCTCGGCCTCCCAAAGTGCTGGGTTTACAGGCATGAGCCACCACACCCAGCCCCAGATCTGTAAACTCTGAGCGAATCTCACTACACGCGGGCACTAAGATTCGGGCCTGGGCCTGCAGCCCGTCCCCAAGGAGCACAAAGTCACAGGGAACTCAAGCTCTGACGTTCAGTGCACACTGCTCTCACTGTACACACAATTCAAGCGAATACAGCCAATGGCTTACAAGTCCACAGCCAAATCGGAGGCAGCAAAACGAATAGAAGAGGCAGAAAAGAGCCCTTAGATTGAAGCAAATACAGAGTCTGTAGTAGACATCAGACACTTCCCTGGAAGCGGGAAAGGAGGGCAAGTTCAAGGGCAGGAAATAGTATGCGCCCAGCCACGTATGTGCCGTGATGTTCCAGGTTCCATGCACGCTTAATTTTGTCCTTGGTGAACCTGAGAGGCTGACAAACTTGAGAGAGGTTAACTATTAGTTATAGATGGAACACTTGTGTCGCCTGTGCCCCATTCATATGCTGAAGCCCTAACCCCCGTATGTAGAGGTGGGACCTACAGGAGGTGACTGGGTTTAATGGGGTCATGATGATGGGACATTCATGACAAGATTAATGCGTGTGCCTTGTAAGAAGACACGTGTGCCCTAGAAAGGTCGTGTGAGGACACAGACAGAAGGTGGCAGTCTGCGAACCAGGAAGAGAGCCCCTGCCAGAACGGCACCATGCTGGCACCCTCATCTTGAACTTCCAGCCTCCAAAACTCTGAATAAATTAACTTCTGTCATTTAAGCCACCCAGTCCACGGCATTTTGCTATGGCAGCCCAAATTTTGTTAAGACAGCTAACTTGCCCAAAGTCACGCTTGGTGAGATCAGGATCTGAACACGGGGTCTGGACCAGAGCCGGCCACCTCTGCACGTGACTCCCTCCCAAGGCGACACATCCATGGCTTCGGTGCCCATGGCCAGCCTCACCCTGATGACTGACCGGCACCCACGCCCAGCCCACATCTGGCCTTTGAACTCCATTCACGTGCCGACATGACATCTCTTGGACATCGAGGAGGCCCCTTAAATCAGGTCCTGAATTTAAATGATGACCCCGCCTCATGCCTGCCATCCACCATATCCTGTTCTTGGTGAACAGCACTGCATTTGTGCCCTGAAAGCCAGAGACCTGGGAGTCAACAGGGTCCCTCCCTCGGCCCCTCCTACCAGACATCAGCTGCCACTGGCTCCATCCAGCCCGCGTTCCTTCCTCTTTCTTCTACCACCATCCGGGAGCACCTCTCGCCTGGGGTCCTGCGAGGCGCCTTCCTCACTGGACTTCTACTTCTCGCTTCTGCACTGGCTCCCCTCCCATCTTTTTCACAGAAGTGGGACCTTCTTCCCACAAGGCCAAACGGACCACGACATGCCCCTGCTGCGACCTGTCAAAATCCCACGGCTCCCGGGCCGCAGCCCAAGAAATGTAGCAAGTCCAGCCCATCTCCCCTTCAGTCCTTGTTACTCCAGCTAATCTGGGTAGAACCCATTTCCCCATGGCCTCCAGCCCCGGCTACTCACTAAATTCACCC